AGTGGGAAAATTTAAATCTGCATGGCCCTTTACTCCAATTGACTCATTCGCTTGCTTAAACTCAAAGTTTATTCTGATTCCGAAGAACTGGGATGGGTGTGAAAAAGTATTTGTTGTTAACATTCTTTTTTCATTCGGTTTTTCCAGTTACGAGTCCTTTTTTTTAAAGCTGATCGTTTTGTGTTCATTTTGTTTAGTTTTTTTTTTCGTAAAAGATTTAATGTTTAGTATAGAGCTTAGAAAAAATTCGCAGTGTGAGATAGGCATGAAGTAAGGCATGTAGCAACATCAGTACGGCAAAGGGCACTCCTTTAAAGGCAAGGAAGGGCAAAAATATTTTAAGTCAAGTGATAGCGATTACTGTATGAGTCGTACGATTTTTGAATCAAGCACGGGCAACGCCGGGCCATGCTGCTATTAACCTATAAAAGGTAGATAAACTGTAAAAATAAAAAAGAATCAATCTAATTATACCTACGTCATTCTTTGTATACTATATGTAAAGCACGTTGACTGAAATCGACTAATAAATAAAAAGAGTAATTATTTGACTGTTTCGCAGATAAAGTATTGTAACTATTTACATTGTTCGAACTGTTGTCATCATCTTTAATGTCATATTAACGACGTTTTGATCGCTGCACACTCTGTCCATATTCAAGTGATATGCCTTGGAATTTCGAACCGAACCTTTTATTTCGCCCACGGGTGTAAATTGTTCTAGTTCCACGAGCCATGCCTTTTTGGGATATTTCAATTTGTTTCATTTATTTCTCTCTAACTATGCAACTCTCCAAATTTTTGTTCACACATTCTGTGGCTTGGTATTGAACTCACAACCAATTGGGTAAAATCCCTTTTGGATTAATTCAGCCAAGGCTTTTATCCGCTGGGCCATGTGATGCGTATAGCATTCAAATTGCTCTCTCTCTCATTATATATATATATATATATATATATATATATATATATATATATATATATATATATATATATATATATATATATATATATATATATATATATATATATATATATATATATATATATATATATATATATATATATATATATATATATATATATATATATATCTTTTTCAATATTTTCTGGTTTGGTCAGCTGGCACTCTCCAACTTGTCTCTCTCTCTCACTGTTGGGATATGGCGATCCTTTCACTGCTCTATTGGTATTTCCATGCTGCTGTTCCATTTCACTGCATAGTGGAACCAGTCAACGGTTACAAGACGTGCTTGACGGGTAGTTTTGAAATTGTAGCGGCCAGATCTTGGAAAAAAAAAGATTTGGCATGTAAGCTCATTAGAAACATTAAATGGTATATTAAAATGAGAGTTACATAAGTCAATTAAAAGTGTGTGAAAAGGAAAAAAAAACATCTAAAAACTTCTTGAGTGAATATTATATTTTCTATGATATACGCTTAATGTCGAGCCAATCACATCAAGGTATTGTTCGTAGTTTCAGTTCGGTATCTTCGTGTGAAATATATTTTACTTATTTCTCTTTCTTTATTTGTCTCATTCTATCTATATCTACTCTAAGTTGACTTGTATATGCCTTTTAAGTTTAACTTAGATTGAAACACAGCCTAGAAATTAATGATTTTTTTCTGCAACTTTCGACCGTTTGAAAACATTTTTTCCGATTTAATTATTCGTATGTTTAAACGGCTTCCCTTGGAATTACACAGTTAATAAAACATTCAATATATTTGAAATCTCTTAGCGTTAACATAACTATGTATTGATTTAGGTCATCAATAATCATATGATCTCTCATGATGTCTTACCAAATGTTTTAATATAGACAAGAAATTTGTCCGCACATTATTTTTTAAAGTCTTTTCTCGAAATCTTTTAAGCCTGCCTAAAAGTCCACTGATGTGTAATGTAGGAAGTAACCAATGTTTTCTAACATCATTATAGCAATCTGTATATAAAAATATATTATTTATCCCAGCAACGAATTTACAGTGAGCATCAACCATTATTGATTATATCGTCACTTCGTTTTGTCTCCAGTTAAAAACAGCGAGGTCGATCACCGATTGTACAAAAATGTACAAATGGTGGCATATTAGCAAATAAATCTTTCTGGGTGTTATGATTTACTAATCAATCTTTTACTGTATTTGTCGGATTCGATTAATCGCGAAATATCAGTATCATACCAGAGAAGCTTAGATAATTCTGTCCGATTTTTTCCCTTTCATGAACCAAGCGCAGTGTTTTCGCGTTTTTGAATGTTTTTATACATCCTTTTGATTTATAACTTGGCTCATCTTTAGAGAATTTTTTTTTTTTTACAGACGTCGTAATTATTCTGACATGAAAGTGTAAGCATAAAAAAAAGAAGAATTGCCGTTTGAAGCGTAAGCCAACTACAGCAAGTACAGTTAATGACCACTGTCGGAAAAAAATCATTGCTTGGATCGAAGATTCTTGTCAGTGGCAGTTAACCTTTGCTTCATAGCCGTTTCTCAAAACCAGTGACCATCAAATGTGGCCTTTTTTGATAGATAGATAAATAGATCTGGACAATCTGGCAAAGGCAAGATTGGAATGAACGAGCTAGCATCCTAGTGAGATATACAGATATATAAAAAATATATTTAACTAACGAAAACGTATTAGAATATCTTTAGCTCAAATAAATAGCGAGATACTAATTATATTGAACCACTAAATATGTACATATTAGAAATGATAGATATGAACAGGCTGAGATAGATTCAGTGAGAGATGAATAAGGTGAGTTAGAGATATGAATAGAATGAGGTAGATTGACATATAGATGGATAGGAATAGACATAGATAGATACGAACAGGCTTAAATAAATAGATACAAACAGGCTTAAATAGACAGGTGGATACAAACGGGCTTAGATAGATAAATACGAACAGGCATAGATAGATAGATACGAACAGGCTTACATAGATAGATAGATAGATAGATAGATAGATAGATAGATAGATAGATAGATACGAACAGGCTTAAATAGATAGATAGATAGATAGATAGATAGATAGATACGAACAGGCTTAGATAGATAGATAGATAGATAGATAGATAGATAGATAGATAGATAGATACGAACAGGCTTAGATAGATAGATAGATAGATAGATAGATAGATAGATAGATAGATAGATAGATAAGAACAGGCTTAGATAGATAGATAGATAGATACGAACAGGCTTAGATAGATACTTTATTCACGCACACACACAAACAGACACGTGTGTGTGTTTTCAGAAATATCTGTTATAGAGAGATGATGCCTCTGAGATATTTTATATAGATCGCTAAATTGGTAAAGAATTGATTGAGATTCTTTGCAAAAGGGAAATGTTTAGAAATTTGAACGGAACGTGTAATGCTTTCAGTCGATTCCTCTCTTGTCTTAACAACTTCATTGAAACTTTTAACGCTTATGTATTTTTTTCTTAATGCCTTATGCTTGTAAGGAATTCATTGTTATTTCTACACTTTATATTTATTCACTCTTTCTTGTCGTCTGTTATACCGTTTGGAATGCAACCCATTTTGAAAGCTTCCTTCAGCATACACGGAGTGTCATGAAGAGCGTACGAAGTGTGAACTTCTTTACATTCGATAATTGTTACGAATCTCGACTAACCTAGATTCACCTTTTTTTCCCCAACTAGTCGACAAGAACAGCATTCTTCTAGTCACTTATTATCCTTTAACATTCATATCGTCTGTCAACTTCACTTGTTAATTCGAGTCCAAAATCGATTTGACGCTGAGCGATTACTCTTTTCCATGTCTGAATCAAATTGCCATTTTAAGAAGTTTAATGTTTTAATGACAATTGGACTAGAGCAGAGGAAGACAGCTCACATTTTTCCTCTTGTTAATGTCATTCAGATTCACCGACATAGTCCCCGTTATGTTATGCGCTTGTTCCAGCGCACCCACACGTTTTGATTTGAATAAAAAAAAAAATAGATCGATACCAAGTAATCCATTTCGCATCCATTGCGTATATTTTAGCAGCATGTTTTTATTATGACATGTCTCTACGTTAAGGGGCCCCGGGGCCTTATACAGGGTCAACATTACTGTATATATAAGACATGACTCTTTGTATAATTTAGACAAGTTTTCTTTACTTACTTCAAAATGATCCTCTCATACTCACGGACAAAATTTGTAGTATCCCTACTTATTTTTTAAACATATGGCCTTTTCAAGACCGATTTAACTCTCCTGGCGATTACATCGCGAAATTTAAATCGTACTGTACATAACCTTAGCTTTTTTCGCTTCACAATTAAAAAAAAAAATAACTTTCAAATGAACAAAACAATTTTGTCTTAGAAAAAGAAACCAAAAAAAAACAACAAAATAACACCGTGATGATGACATTGTGCTAATGACGAAAGTAATCGGAATATATAAATATGTACCAACATAGACATATTCTCTCTTCCTTTAATAAGAATAGCTTGGCCTGGAATATGAGAGAATCCTATTGGAAATAAGTAGACAAAACTTGTCTAAATTATTCAATAAGATATATCTATATATATATATATATATATATATATATATATATATATATATATATATATATATGACATTATAATACCTAAATGTACCTAAAGAAAGCGCTCGGATAAAAATAGCATTCGGACAGTTTTTATATAATTTATCATCTGAAAAGAAAAAAATATTAGATCGCCTGAGAAATTGTATAAAAACTAAATAAAAGCACCTTGTCTGTCGTATTCAACGAAATGTGCATGAAAGGAGGATTGCCACCTAAATACACACACACACACACACATACACACACACACACATATATATATATATATATATATATATGTATATATATATATATATATATATATATATATATATATATATATATATATATATATATATATATACAGTAAGTTTCACCTTGTGCAAGGCCCCGGGGACACTCAAAGTAGACGATTACGTTAAGGCTTGTTTTTACGGATAGGAGTGGAAGATGACTGTTAATGAAATGTATGAACAGGTTAAGAGTGTAATGATAGAGGAGGCATCCTCTTGGGAGTGTCACACAGAACAGTCGTTCGCGGGATGAAGCTCTTCAAATAGAACTTGCTTCTCACCAATGGGATACGGAGGGAATGTGGGTGATTTGCAACAATATAAGTGGCAAAACAAGTCCTAGCCGTGAAACTTGGATCTGACGGAACCAAGGAATGTATATTGTCCGAGCACTTTCAATGTAAATATCGATAGAGCAATGAAAGGATCGCCACACCCCGCCTGCGAGAGAGAGAGAGAGAGAGTTTAGAGAGTGCTAGCTGACCCAGTAAACATGAGAGAGGGATAAATTGTCACCCATAATGTCTCACTGACGATTTTGAACTCTATCAAGGCTAGAAAGTGATAATCGTGAAACTCTCGCCCAAATATGACAACAGCACACACTTTTTGGCCTGATCTGGTTTTTATAAAAATAGAGGGTATCATGAGCAGTCAGATATTTATTGGAGAGTTACAAGGTGATGACTATTTTACCAGCAAGTAGAAGGATCGTATGTACACAGCAATTCTCACTTACGACTAATCTGTTTTATGCAAATATAAAAGACCATTTATTAAATTTTATAATATAAATAACAAAAAAAGATTTCAACACTTTGTTCTTAGTGATTCTCTCTTGCTTCAAATTGTATCAAATAATATTTGTAAATTCATAAAAAAAAGGAGGAATAAAAAAAATGTTTCTACAGAGTGCAGACGATAGAGCTGATCTTCGAATTTATCTATTAAATTTACTGTGCATTATGAACATCTAGAAACTAATTCGAAAATTTGTAGATAGCACAAGAGTAACATAGATATATGTAGCTGGTTTCATCCAACCTATTACATGTTTAATATTCCTAAAGCAGTAGTAGTGACCAGCCCGTTTAACGATCCGGTTGTTAGAACGAAACTGGTCGTAAACTGAGGGTTGACTTTGTCGTAACGTGAATGTATTCTACAAATACTTAAATTGAATAAGATAGATAGACACGAACAGACTGAGATATATATGAACTGCTTCTGATCGATCCACTGATATGAACACATAGACAGATAACGTAATGAATACGAATGCTTGGAGATTCTTAACATTATGTCAGATAGAATGTATATATATATATATATATATATATATATATATATATATATATATAGCACAGCTAATAAATCCGTTGGTATATAATTCAAGTGGATCCTAGTAATATTAAATATGATCCAGAAAAAGAGTGCAATATTTTATAACTGAGCATATAAATTACACAACAAAATCTAATATTAACCCTGATGAGTCAATTTTGGATTTTGTCATATAATGTGTGTGTATGTATGTATGCATGCATGTATGTATGTATCTATCTATCTATCTATCTATCTATCTATCTATCTATCTATATATATATATATATATATACATATATGTATTTCTGTATATATATATATATATATATATATATATATATATATATATATATATATATATATATATATATATATCATATGATAAACCAAACGATATAAACGGAATTTACTGCAGAAATAGTTTTCCTTTAAGAGACGGGAGAGAGAGAGCAGGGGATTATACAATAAGTATATAAATCTGGGCTGATGAGTACAAAAACAATTGGATCAGTGGAAATATGATGAAATTATGGGCAAACAGTGAGACAAATATGTTAATATCTCTGAAGTGATGTTTCTAGATGAAGCCGATTAGAAAAATGTCTCAAATGTTTGTTTGTTTGTTTGTTGTTCTGTTTTCGTGTGTTATTGTCGTTTTTTTTATCCGAACATATTCTTCCGCTTTACTAATTGCAAACAAAGAAATATTTTGGACCACGAACCTTCTCGTATTCAACTGATACTTGCTCTTCCGTGCCGCCTCATTTCATTCATTGGCAGGAATGCAAAGTTTCTACTCTCTCTCTCTAATTCTCATTACACCCTTTTGTTCGTATTTCACCTACACTACTTATTGCTGAAAATGTCAAATCCTTAGCAGCACATTTATTTGCACTATCGTTGGCAAAAATCGGAAGAAGACGTGAAATATTTTTTTGTTATGTTTTTCTAATCGGCTGAGTAGAGTTACTTTATAACATAAGGAACATCAATATTTTCTTTCATTTTTCAAATAGAAAATATAGCATATGGAAGCGATTTCTCAAATGAAACAGCTTTGTAAAATGTGAAATATAAATTTTGGTTAGACTGAATCTATTGATGTTAATAATCTATACACACGGTCTGGTGCTTCTGCTTTGTATTGAGAGATTCTTCATGAAATATAAAGCAGTATCTTCAATCTTATTTGTCATGGACTGGCATCCCGGCTTCAATTATTTTCCATCGTCTTAACTTATTATCCCTGTGCATTATCTATGAATTCTTTGATGGTAATTGCCCCGTTGAAGTTTTCTCTATGGTACCTTGACATTCTTAATTTAAGTAATAAATTTGCAACATTCTAGGGTCTCGATTTCCGCGATGTTTCTGTTAACAGTTTCTTCCCCGTACTTCTGGATTGTGGAACTCACTTGCAGTTTCTTGCTTCTAAGTAAAATTTGATCATCAAAAAATGATATGGAATACCGTTTGTTATCTTATGTCTTCTTAATTCCTGTTCTTTTATTCTCCTCTCCATAATATTGTCTTTTTTTTTCATTTTCATCACGCTCGGTAAACTCGTGTGTCTTACTGGCTTTATTGCCTTGTTTAGGGCGAAATAATTAAATAAATAGGCAGTAAGAAGTCTAAAGTGCTGGCTGATTATATTCAAGTCACGCAGAAGCCATTAGTCTTCGTCTTATTATCGAAGCTATGCAATGTACAAATTGGTCAGAACGTAGATTAGGAAGTTCTAACAAAATTACTAGTGAGAATATTCAATCAGATAAATAAGTAGATGTAAATAACATAATATAGATAGATACATATAAGTAGGCTTAAATAACAATGAAAGATATATATATATACATATATATATATATATATATATATATATATATATATATATATATATATATATATATATATATATATATACGCCAGAGAGAGATACACATAAAAAACAGATAGGTACATAAATTTATAGATGTGAAAAGACATATATA